TGTAGCTTCTTTTAGGTATTTTACCTGTGTCTCTGAAGCCAACTTAATGGCAGGAATAGAATCGAGATGGGCAAGACAGAAGCTGCATTTATGACATATACAGTTGACAGTGTATAAACCCAAGTACACTGCATGTATGGCGTTCGATAGGCATGGGTGTAGTGGTGTAGGGCTTAACTGTCTGGCGTGACGGCCGACAATCGATTGATCGATCGACAGTTGCAGTGATGGACCAGTGACAGCTGTGTGGAGGTCCGCGATGCCTCGTCAAACAATTAGCGAAAGACGTTGAATAACAGGTGGCCGATGTTGGTGGTGTTGGTGAGAGGAACATACTCAGCGTCGTCGTCGTCGTTGTTGTCGAACTGACGATAGAACTCGAAGCGTCAGATCCGGCATGCCAGATTACCGGCAACGAACCTGGAGTAGCAGCAGCGTCCACGGACAACTGTCAGGCGCTCACTGCTGCTGACAACGGAACAATGAGGCATCGAGGAGAATCGTAATGAACGAAGCCTTTGCTTTAAGGCAGTTGGCAACGACGGGTTACGTCACTTTTACGATGACCATGGTGGACACAGCTGTCCACTAGAATGACCACTGCTCAGCAGGGGATTCGATGGTCGTTGACAAACCAGGTCAACGTCACCTGCATCGTGTTTTGCCACCCTATTCATAATCCCGGGACTGCTGTCCGCAAACTCGGTTAATCATAATTGTTCAGTCGATCTGTTCATAACATGACAGGTTTCTGAATGATTCTTGTTAAAACTGGTGTGCACCAAAGGAATGGAAAGGAAAACGCTGAAGCCTGATCGACTATGGCTCGAGATGAGAGAATGGAAAAGAAGAATGGAGAAGTGCCAAAAAGAGGGAAGAAAAATGAGGGTAACGTGAGGAAAGAGAGAAAAGGGCAAAAGAGGAAAAGAAAGGGAAACGAGTTGGAAGGCAAAGTGTGCAATTATTATGATGTCGACCTTGCTGACACTGTTAGAGTTACAGCACTCTTTCTATATGATCTATCACGATATTATGGAAGATAGTCTTACAAGGCCGTACACCGTTTTTACTGAAACATGGAAAAGATGAAGTCCTTCACAGTCAAACGCCGTTCAGCTTCCCATGTCAAGCAAAAACGGAACCTACAAACCGAAGCGTATAAACCATAAGTGGCTCGACGTGTATCTCCAGCGGACGATGAAAGCATGAAAGGTGTCAGCTGAGCAACAGAGCCGAAAGAAGAGCTGAAGCTCGTTTAATCTTTCATCTTTTATAAGGAGGTCTCGCCTGACATCTTCGACGCATGCCAGCGTTACAGCGGAATTGCATGTTTTCAATGTTGACTATGTAATTAAGAAGTCGAAAATTGCAAGAGGTTTTTACGACCTTCATCATGGAGAAGAAACTTTGAGGAACGTACGATCGAGCCGTCAGTGCACGTTGGCAAGGCAGAGATTGGCCGGCCGGTGCCAAGGGATGATGATGTGGAGCGGAAGAGGCGTTTCAGAGACTGATCAACGCCGGTGTGTCAGCTGTTGTTTCGGCAGGGGCGATGAGGAGGAGGAGGTGGCGGAAATTTGAACCGACGGTCGACGGACGACGAGCAACTAACGGAGGGAAGTGAGGCAAACGGAGAAAGTTGGCGGTAGGCGATTGGCTGTCCTCTGCTGAGTCGACCATTCGGCTCCGGCTGTTTGCGCACTTCCCCTAATCTTCTGACGCTTTTCTCTATTCGCCCGCAGAGCTGGATAGCGAATTCTTACGTAAGCAGCCGCCGCTTCAGCTGTTCAAAGACGGCTCAACTTTCAGCGTTATTTCTGGCAAATATATACAGAGATGATGGTTCCTGAGAACCGATGGACCTGACAGACTGATATTCGACTCATTTTGCTCATGCCTACTTGCTCGGTCTTGTCAGAAGTGACCAAAGCTACCATGCGAACGTCATCTTGGAATTCGCACCTGTCTTCTATTTAGAATTTCCCTCAATCCATGTCATGATAAACCAAAACAATTAATAATGATACTTCACTTGTAGAAGACGAACCTTGGCTTCGTTCAAACGTCGTACTCATGACATTTTAAGAGTACACATCGTCAAAATCGTAGTGGGACAATTTTGAGACGTACGTCCAACGTAACCGCCTCTGATTCTCATGAGCATTGTTTTCGACGGCTCAGAGGCAAGCGAGGAATCGATAAAAGCACGGGTGGCTCAACAGATAAAGGCTGCTGCGTTACACCCAACAGGTGACGCTAGTCAGCAGAAATACTCATCACTGTGACTCCCGGATGACAGAGTGATACGGAAGTAAACATTTGGCAGATTTCGTAAATCGGTGCAGCACAGGGGACATGCCAATCACTCATTCGGCCATCTATAACATCGTTCATCTTTCCCGTTTAAAGCAACATGGCTTTTGGAAGCAGCTGTTGTTTATGCCTCAGTGTGCAAATTCGAAGTTTAAAGTTTTGACTTATGCATCAGGCCCATTCATAAGTCCAAAGTGTCTTGTACCTTCACGATGTTCCTTTTTCCAGTAGTTCGATGTATGACCGTAACTCGGTCACATAGCTTGAAAATGCTGAATCTTAGGTAGCGGCAAGCATGATCGATTCTGAACAATAATCGAACACATTCCCTCTGAGTAAAATATGGTTTGATGATTTCTTTCGTTGTTGCTAAGTCACCTCCACCGTACCATAGAACTGCATCATTTACACTTGCAAGCTTCGTCGTCATGACGTAGAAGAGACTCAAGGTCGAAATATAGCACCTCCAAGACTATCGCTGAGTTGGAAAGAAATGAAACATTAGACGGCATAATGGTCGCGCAGCTGCAAAAAATTTCCGCCGTTGAAAATTAGACTCGATGCGTCAGTGGTACCGAAAGGGGGACCAATTTTGTACTGTACATTCTACGTAGGCGCGCATTCTTTACGGAATTGTGACACAGCTGTTCGCACCAATGGTGAACACATTTTCTGTCCTTTTCTAAAGCGAAATGATCGCCGTCAGTATTGCCTGAATTCCGCCGGTACCTTGCATTACTCAAATCGTTCACCATAAGTAGATCGGCAGTAAGTGACCAAGTGTTTTCATCACAGTCGAAAGGAACGTCACTGAACGTCATACAATCTGGCAAGTTCAGAGATGGATACTTTTCTGTTACTTGTTCCAACCGTCTTCCCTCGGAAGTATTTGCAGATTCACTCCTGTTAACGCCTTTACCGCCCAAGCTCGGCAGTCTCGTATTGGGCTAGCAACTTCATCACGTCTTCCTCATTTGAACTACGCAAACCATAAACCTAGGAGGTGCGTAGTTCTAATAAAAAAGGCGAAAAATTTCTTGTGCTAACTGTTGATTCAGTTGAGTAAGCAATTTACCCACTGCGCTTTAACGCAACCATCTGAGAAACGGGTAACAAGTCGTCGATCAGCGAAACCGGGGGGGGAGGTAGCATGATGTTGGATATGGCCATGGTGTCTGACGCACGCGCTTTGAAGAGCAATTCGCCCGTGTCCACCTGATAGTAGGCCATATGATGTGATGATCGGCAGCATACGGTGTAAGCCCAATTTTCCTAAACGGTTTACCGTTACCTGTGCAAACTGCCATCGGCTGTAACGTAAAGCAATCGACTGTCAGGAAATACGCAGGTGTTTGTTCGTAGTGTTTCTTGTCAGTGTGTCTGGTGAGGTACAAGGCGTAATATTTCATATTCGATATACCTCACGAAAGTCACTTGTTACACGCTGTATCAATAAATTGGCTTCGATCGTGTTTACTGTCCATGACAGCCAACGTACATGCGAAATGCGCATTTATCGCTTTGCCGTATTCTATCTAAAGGTCATTCCTTATTCAGGGGTTAGCAGCAGGATGCCGCCAGGCTTTCTTTAAGAATCAATTTGCAAGGTCACTTCCCGAAGGGCAATTTGTCACCTGAATCTGCATTCAGTTCAGAGCACCCGTTTTGTAAACTGATTTGCGTTCTGACGTCTGGCAGCTCCCATTCGTGGCCATTGCATTCACCTTGCAACACTAACCTGTGCTTCAGTCGTTGTTTCTTCCTTTCGACGTGTACGCGAAATTGTCAGGTGGGTATTGTGGGCTCTATTGGCAACGCACATGTTCCAAAATGGCTAAACATAAGCCGAGGATGAACAAGCTTCAGAACAGGTATCCAAGATACCATTGATTGTGAGTCACGTCGAGAGATCCCAACTGCGACGATTTAAGCCCATGATCAAAATAGCAAAGAAATGACTCACAGAGTAGACTCTCTTCACAATACCGAATTGTAGATGACCACTGGTCAAATTGCGGCTCAGCTGACTTTGAATCCAGTTCATGGATGCTGTCTAGTTAGTAAAAAGGGAAAACTACTGGTAAAATCCCAACAGCTACTGACGACGGAAAAGAAACTGTGAACTAGGAAAATAGAAGTAAAGAAAATACATATCTGTAACTGATTGGATGTCGGTCTCCCTTGCACTTCCATAATAGGCACGACACCAACTGTAGTCTCATTATTTCTTGCATTTTGCCATGGGGCTATAAACTCCCTGCAGTGTAATTGGCCAAGAGTGTTCGATGATGATGCTCTGGTGCATGTAGCAAAACGCGTTCAAACAAAAAACCTTTCACCACCTGTTTTGGCTGGTGCCCTGAACCGTGAATCGTTCATCCGCCTATCTATCCACCTACGATCCGAGAGGCAAAATTCTCGAGCTTTACTTAGCCAAGAGGGTTCTGTTGTTGTCGTTGATAATTGCTATATTCACAGCTAATTGACACTTATAGAGTGTAGCTTGCCGTTTCCTTTCCTCAGAGTTATATACTCGCTTATCAGCGAAGGATGAAAGGTGAGGTTCCTGATCAAAGCTGAAACTCAAGACCTCTCGACAGCGTATCAGACCCACTACCAACTGAGATACCCTGAAAATGAAACAATGAATGGAGAATGACGAAAACTTAAGCTAGTATAAAAAATTGTCCATTACAAGAGGATCTTACTCTTATAAAAATTAAGGTTCGACGTCTGGTGAGTCATTTCCCAGTGGACACTTCAAATTGTTGCCATCTGTCTGATTTTCCCTTACGAAGGCATTAATCACCACAATACGAAACGATATTAAAAATTTATTATGCTATGAAAGCACTTCATCAGGAAGTGCACGAGAAGCAAATAATGACGGATTGATCGTCGAAAGCAGCCACACCAGCAGCAACAATTCGGCTGATGAAACGAATTATACGCGTTTTCATCCATTTTAAGCGAATCATCGTTCATCGTGCACGTGGCAATGAGTAGGAACATGACACACCGTCATTCATGTTGGCAGAGTCAGGAAAAGTTTGCAATTTCTTGTGTAATTCGGTCTTTCATGGGAGATGAGCTTGATTCCCCACGTCACGGTTTTTAGTGAGGCCAAAAACGAATCTAGCATTCGATTTATAGAAAGACTACGGTTGAGCGGCTTTATCAACCCGTGGATCAAGTGGATCCATGCTGAACTGCATAGATTTTTACTTTCGCTCTGTTCGGGTTATGATGCTGAAAATATTCTCCTCTGTTTAAAATGAACAAAGAACTGAGGCAAGTCTGGTAAGCGGAACATCGTTTTCTGATACCTTGACATTTATAACAATGATCTTCCGGGCTGTCATAAAATATCCGGTAAATCAGTTTAGAAGACCACTCATTCTGGAGGCAATAGTTGGTCAGACAGTGTCTCCCGCGTTCCCGATGCAGTGTCAGGGTTTCAGCTCCGGCAGATGAAAGCCAAAGCCAGGAGCAGAATCCATCGATGTGCTTGCTCCAAGTCATTCTTGATCGTTTCAAGGGTTTTGAATGGCTGGCTGAACGAGTAATAGCTGTTTGGCGTTCCTTTCTGCAGGCATTCACAAGACATGCGTAAACCATCATGGCTGCGTCTACTCAACCTGGAGAAGCATCTACTGCACAACAAGACTTTCTAAAACTCCGCCAAGACGCGTCAGCCCGAAGACTAGGATTTATGCCACAGTAAAACAGTTCAAAAATATGCAGTCCATCAAAATTCCATCCATTTTTGGTGCCCATTTTGGTACAGCCGCGATGCTGAGGCTGGGATGTAAAACATTCCGGTAAAAATCATGCCAGTGTAATGGTGAGGCACTTATTTTCGTCGCCGATTGACCGTCGCTCAAACTCATTAAAATCCAGCATCTGCAATCTAATGATACTTTGTTTTGGAACCATGAAAATTCACGATGTTGGCTGATTATGGATTCAGCAATGGTGAATCTAATCTAATGGTATGGTGCTGGTGAATCGTGAAAATATAGGCTTTGACAGCGATAAAGAAAGGTGGAGATTTTGAATCTTAGCAGTTATCGATTTCAGGACTCAAGTCGGAGTATCAGTTTTTTAGCAGATCTGATCTTGAGAAATAGGCACATCTGTGATCTCTTGACTATCATAGCTTCTTTTGTGACTACCTCAGACTTCCTGAGATCTCAACAGACCTTCATGCAGATTGTAGGAGATGCTTACAATATTCTCCATCTTGTTTCGTCATAGGGAAGTCCCATTCTGAACGAACAGTTTCGAAAAATTTTATTGAGTTACCCCTATATTGTTCATGATATATATAATGATGAATGTACATATATTTGCGATCGATCGAAACTCTGCTCCGCTAAGTAAAGAATTATTTACTTCTCATATCGCTAACCGTAAAATCAAAAAGGACCGTCATAAGAAGGGGTGATATTTGCATAACGGCATGAACTGAGTTGCCGACTGCCTCACTGCTTAGAGTGTGAGATTTCAGTGTCAAGCCCATGGCCATTCGTTCAAGTTTGATTCAGCCAGAGCCATCTGTTTATGTGTTGTCGTCGTCAACAGTTGCATTTCACTTCTGTCACATCTATCAATAACTGGATCGTAGAAGGAGAGATTAATAAGTAAATTTTCGACCTCCACTCCTCCAGGTTGCTTATCGTAATTTTCTGAACATGTTAGAGAAGCTATTAAAGGTGTTTGAAAAGAGGAGAATGATCATGCGGATCATGATACAATCAACCTGTTATGTGCATATATCTTTCCTTACGTAATCATCCTATTTACAATATTATTTGTCATATCGGCCATACTGTTTGGTTACTACGCTAGTCGCATAGTACGACCTCAATTTTAACGTTCCCTATCGATGTCGAATTAAGCACTCCAACTTGAAGGAGTGAAGAGGATCGATCATCTACCGGTGGTTTTCGGCATCGAACGACGCACCTGCAAATCTGCTCTTTTCTGTGGCCTTCGACGATGGTCTGGAGGCGTCGCAAAGAGACCAATCGCTTAAACTGATTGTCAGGAAAGTCTGCAAGCGTGATCACAGCCAAGACAGAAGTAGGGCTGAAGATGCGTTCCCGGTGACACGTGTTTGCAGTTGTCAGGCCGGTCGACCGGCACTGGAGACGAAGCACGACCGAGGCCGAAGCCGCAGTGGAAGGTTATAACGATGAGAGCAGCAAAACCGGGTTTCGAAATCTGTGACGACCGCACTGACGACTCGGCCGTACGTCGACTGACATCAAGAGAACACTTTTACATGTCGATTGTGCATGACAGAATTTCGACACGCCAGAGACAGTTTTTCCGTCATGACAACTCGTTGTGTCACAGCAGCTGCTGTTGCCTGTTTATTATTACAAATGCACAAGACAAGACAGACTGGTGATAGACAGAGAGACGGAGAGAGACGTTCGACCGACCGGCCGGTTGCCTAGCTGTTTCGAACAGCGTTCATTCAGGCGATGGTCGAATGCGTGATGGCCGATGGTCACAACTACATCGCCGAAGGCAACCAATAACTTCAGTGCTATCGACAAGACATTTACAAAGCAAACACACGCAGAACAGCATACACGCATATTAAAAACCGCTGTCATCGAACACTGCAATGGCAGCAATGGCATAGCGTCCGTCATCCAATTCGAAGACCGTCGTCCGTCACTCGGACGGAGGGTCGCGTTTGAAGCTCGTCGTTTGAAGAGAAATAAGTTCGCTGTGGTGAGTTGCCTGTCCGGCGCAGCCGGCCCTCTTAAGTGGCCATCGATCGCAGTGGGTGCTACCTGCATGACCCCGGACGAAACGAGTTCGGTAGTTCGGTAGGTGTGGCCGAGGTCGTCAGGGATCGTCCAGCAAGTGAGTAAGGGCTATCTATGGTTGAAGGTTTCAGTGACGGCTGCCAGAACGATATACGGTAAATGAGGACGGTACTCGGCGACGGGTCATAAGTGATTCACAGGGTAGTGCCTGCCGTAGCAGCCGCTGTTAACGTCGGTGCGAGACCGGATGATGATCGCCTCGGCAGGCATGTACATCGGCTTGCTTGGGCTGCCGCAGCAGCACAGACGGTAGAGGAAGCGACGCCACGAGTCGACGGTCTTGTGGGACCAGATCCATATGCCGGATGTGATGCCGACCACTAGACACATAAAGTACTTGAGTACAGCGATGCTGAACTCAGGCTTCGACGACTGCTGCAGGGGGCAGTCTCCCACGCACGTAATCGTCGTCTCCCACGTGGTCCGGTAGTGCTGTTCGTAGAAGTAGCAGCCAATGACGATGGTGGCGGGAATGGTGTACAGAACTGAAAATGTGCCGATGCGAACCATCAGCTTCTCGAGGGACTCGATCCTGGACAGACCCTGTTGTTGTTTGACGATGTTATGGATGCGGACCAGCGATACAAATCCAGCCAAGAGGAAGAACGAGCCCAAGGCCAAGTAGGCAAACAACGGCCCGAGCACGAACGCTCGAAGCATGACCACGTCGGTACTGCCCACGAAACAAATGCCGCTGGTCGGGTCTCCGTCCACAACGGACAGCGACAGGATGGCGACGGTCTTGACCGCGGGCAGCGCCCATGCAAACACGTGGAAGTACTGTGAATAGCTGGAGATCGCTTCATTGCTCCACTTTAAACCAGCGGCCAGAAACCAGGTCAAGGACAGAACGACCCACCACACGGAGCTGGCCATGCTGAAGTAGTAAACCAACAAGAACACTACGGTACACGAAGCCGGACCGTTGGTGTTTGACCTGATGACCGAGCCGTCACACGCTATTGCCTCGTGGCCAATCACCAATCGGACAATATAGCCAATGGACACCATCAAATAGCAAAACGACAGGAAGATGATCGGTCGTTCCGGGTAGTGAAACCGAGACATATCGATGAGGAACGTCATCACGGTCAGTAAAGTAGATATAAAACATAGCACTGACCAAAGTCCGATCCAGAACGTGACGAAGTTCTGCTTGTCCCGACTTAGGTTTACTCCATGACAAGGATATGTACAGTACGATACGTTTCCTACACTGGTTTTGACAGACGCGTCTGGACTGAGAGATACAAACGGTGTCCTGCACTGACACGTGCACTGCCCTCCAGGGTGGTAAACCGGCCGGTGAAGATCGATGGTAGGCTCCAGCGGAGGGTACTGCTTTCCGCCGATCGGAAATTCGTTCTCGATGACCAGTGGCCGTCTGGTCGGTCTGGGGGTAGAGGCTGCTTTTTCGGTCTGGTTCGAATCCATGCACAGCTGGTCAGGATGACCAAAGACGGGCAGCTTTTCGCAGTCCAGGTTCAACGGCCATTCGAAGCCGTACTGGCGCATCAGCGGGGCACAGCCAGCTTTGGCACGTTCGCAAACGGACCTGCAGGCAGGCAGCGGCTTCGGGTAGTCAGGGATGCAGATCGGTGTGTACATG